ACCCACCTCACCCACACGCAAACATCGCCAAATGCTCATCGGCGAAAACCCACCTGTCATCCGCATCCATCCGAGCCAAGCCCTGTGTACTGCAACAGGAGACCGTACATCAGCTATTCGATTATCTCCAAGACAAATGTCAGCTGTGTCTGGGTTGTTGCCGGGTATGGAGCTGGCCAGTAGTCAAGCGGCTGGGGCTCCAACTGTGAAAGCGTATGTTTGCGAGACTTGCGGGAAGAGATATCAGAGGAACACTCATCTTCGACGACATGAAGCAACCCGTGAGTACTTTCTATTGATGTAAAATGTTCGACTTTGTTTCTTTCCAGTTCCTGTTCCCGTCCCTGTTCCCGTCCCGTAGGCAGCAGCTGTCCTTCCTTTTATATCTTTCACCCCTCCCATGATTCTATTGATGATAGCCATCCTTTCCTATTCCATCACTCCATTCTGAACTCAACATCAACAGCACATTACCAACCATGCTCAGCCAATTACGTGTCACAGTCGCAATCGCACTGTTGGCACATGAGCTAAAACCTTCCACAGACATAAACACTCTTCGTTTCAAATGTCAATAATGATTGCAGCAAAGGCTTTGTTAGAGGGTAGGCGATGCCTCTCATCTCCCCTTTCACATCTATCCATGCGGCATCCACGTACATCTTCCACAGCTACGTGTGCCGCAAACACACCTTGAGCTGCGCCAGAAAGGATAAACAAAAGAGCTTACCCGAATTCCGCCGTGGCCAAAAACCTCGTGCTTGCGAGCCGTGTTACTAAATAAAGTCTTGTGCGACAAGGCGACACCTTGCTCGCGCTGTGTTTCTCGCGGGCTGACTTGTCGTTTTCGAGATGTCTTCGACTCGGGTTGCTCCAAACAAGATGCAGCTTACTTCAAGTCTAAGTCTGCGGGCCAAGCTCATGCCAGCCTGCCAGTCTCCATCTCTGTGTTTTCGAAGGGCGTTGTGAACCCTGATACTGAGTCAATGCCGGAATACTTTGCCAATGACCAAGCTGTCAATGACAAGGTACCAGATCTTGACTATCCACCCAATTTTCCTGACTTTTCTCTACCCATGATGGCCATGGACGGCGGAAACCTCGACATCCTCTGAACTAAGCACAGCAGTGCCAGCGTTTACCCCGGAAGGGTTAGAGAGATTACGGCATATCTTAGATGAGATTATTCGCGAGTCAGGCAAAAGCCACAAATTCCTCGAGGAGTACGATCCAACATGTACCGAAATATACCACGAAGATCTAGCACACTCTATCTTTTCGTCGGATAATCATGCTCGATTTATATCTGTTTTCTTTCGACTGAGTCACATACATGTTCCTATCATACGTATTCCATCATTTGGTCATGAAGATACACCGGCAGTCTTAGTTTTAGCAGTTGCGCTAGGTGGTACACTCCACTCCGCACCACGGGACGATACATTATCGTCACGATACTTCTTAACTGTTGCAGAAGACTACATCTTTGGGTATATGCAGGGGCTTTGGTCACCGAGGTTTTCTCAAAACCGAGCAAGAAAATGCTGTATGCACTACAGGCTGCGATAATCTTCCACAATGTTCAATTTATGAGAAACGATGTACAGACGCGACGAAGAAATTCGTCAGTCAGACTTCCTGCTTTGGTGTCTGCGGTGCGGCAGCTGGGGTTAAATCAGTACAAGCATTCTGGGGCGCTGATTTGGGAGAAATTCCAGTATGAAGAGTTGTGCATCCGGTATGTTGCATTTGCCCTCTGTATCAACAAGAAGGCACTAACGGACTCTAAAAGAATTGGTTCTTGGACGGCAATATCTGATTGGCATCAAAGTGGTATGTTTCATGCACCGCCGCAGACGTCTATCAAAGAAGTCGATTGCGACATGCCGTGTCCATTAGAACTGTGGGATGCCACCAACCTCGAGCAATTCGAAGGAAAATTGAAGGAGTTAAAGTACCAGCCTCCACCAATGTGCTTCTCAATCTGTAAATTTGTCGAACTATTAATGAGGGACAACTTGGATAAAGCGCAACCTATTCCAGTCACTAGCCTCAAACTATCCCACCTCCGAGCAGCTACCATGGGTAAGACTTCCAATCATCCATGCAACAACAAAGCAAACATTAATCATGCATAGCATTGAGTTCCATGGCTGTCTCGGCTCATTTAAATGGCACCATGCCTGCAACAGCCCCCGCTCTGCTCCGTGCCATAGATCGATGGCACGACCTTTGGGATGCCGTCATCTCCAAACTGGACTCCGCCTCTCTGCAACGTAGTGGCATGGCCAGGCACAGCACCGATATTAGTGCTCTTATCAGGAAAGTGGTTGAAGTGGCCATTTCTGATATCGAACAATCGGCGTTTTTGAAGGGCGTCGGTCACGAGTCTCTGAGAGAACTGTATGACTTGATATTAAACCATTAGCGAATTATGATACCCGCTGTACGATATATTGGGGCAGTCCTCGGCTATTCAATCCCCACTACTTTATTTCGAATCGGAGATCAGTGGTCTTGGTGCTGATATTGTCCTTTCCTGGCCTATAAAATAAGTTGTGGCTTGCCGCATCGCATTTGGGTCGGCTGATCGTCCCAAGTAACTCCGTACCCTTGGTACGGAAATATATTCGGGTATTCACCTTTTAATTGTTCAGCACCGGTGTATTTGAATCATGAAGCCACGTCGTGGAACGATTTCCACTCTACGGGTCTTATTCTTGACATGGGGTGAAAGCTCACATCACTTCACGTAGATGTTTCCAGCTACATAAAGCAGCTTTGAAAACCTCACTGAGACACTCTCTCTAGCGATAGTGGAGAATCTGTGGCTTACGGATGCACGATACATGGCGCTTTCTTCATGCTCCCCGATACGTTGGACAGGCTTGGTGTCTTCAAGCTCGGCTGCCGAACATATGCAAGCTTCTCATGATTGAGAAGGAGGAAGAGCTTGCATGACCCACTTCAATGCCTTTGAGAGACCTTCGTGAGCCCGTCGTTGGGCATATCTGCATGTCGAAAACAAGAAGTCAGGCTCCAGGCCTCCGACTCATATTATATATATCATCGTCGCGTCTTCCAATGTCAAGCTATGGGTGCTCCAGAACTGTGAAGTAGGAAAACAATGTACTCAGTATCCTATATACAAGGATGACTAGCGATATTAATTCACGCCGGTCTTCGACAAGCGACGTCACTCTGCCACCCAAAGTCAACGATGAATCAGAGCCCGACAATGATCTCCTCTCACCGAAACACCTAGTCAAGAGCCCCTATGGTGTCGACCGAGAGCAACTGGAGGAGTTTTTCAGAGGGTTAGGCACCAAAGGCGTGCATGCCAAGACGCAGATTATCAACCCTGACGAGAGAGATGCGGCTCCCAACCCAGACCATGTTGGCGCGCACGACGAAGCCCGCAAGCCTCCCAATAAAATCGCCAAACACTCTTCAGACCCAACACTCAACATGGCAGAAGTCACCCCGCTGGACCTGCCGCGGGCGTGCAAGCTTGTGCAGGGTGAAACAAAAATCGGCGATGCGCGCCGTGTAGTAATTGAGCCTCCCGACGTCACCTGCCGCAACAGACTGGCCATCTACATGGATATAGAGTTTGCGGATCAAGTGCTGAAGTTGGAGGAAGAATATCTACTCAAGCAGGCTGAACTCATCAGCAAATGGGAAGAAGCAATGGAAGTTGCGCTCGGCAGGGTAACTGAGCTGGGCAGGTCGAGGGCGATCGAAGTCCGGGACAAGCTGCTGGCCTTTGAGGTCAAAAAGGAGGGGGGGTTACAGTTTAAGCAATTGTTAGAGGAAGTCTGCAGAGTGAGAGAGCGGTTTCAACCGGTGAGCCCCATCTTGAACAAGCTGTCAAGGTCATCAGAATAATCGCCAGAAGTTTGGCGTGAGTAGACGCACAGGTCCGGGGCGATGGGCTGGGCCCTGCCGGATATGTATACAGATTGCCCCTTTTGGAGCTGACATTCACAGGGGGGGGGGTTGTTAGCTTCTTCTGATGGTGACTATCGAATAGGTTTCCGGTCAAATTTAGCATGTTGTAAGTGTACCTGTTATGATTATTGTTGTTTAATGAATCATCAGAACCACTTGTATTTTCTTTTCTCTTTGTTTGCGCCCCCATGTAGCAAGTCCCATTTATCTCAACACAATGGCTAACACGCAACCTTCGCATCCTCGGGTGAGAGGAGAGAAACGCTGCAGGGTATTCCCTTGGATAAAGAAGACGTCCTTGTCTCACAGCTCTGCATATTGTCATGGATAACAATCCTCAGTGGATGATGAGTCATTTCATTCACCGGGGTGCGGATTCACGTCCGCCGTACTCTATTACGCTGCGGCACTTGGTGATGACATCAAGTCCAGCATTCTCCTTGAAATGGAGCCCACATTAATGCAGAGGACGTATCTGGGAGGTCTCTCTATTCTACGAGGCGGCCCGCGGTCTTGAATTCGGTGTATTTGTTGGACCGACTACCTTATCATGGAGACCATAAACAATCATCATGAGCCAATTGTTTCGAAAATGATTCTTCTTTCCTTGTTGAGACATGATACGACAATCTCCAGAGCATATCGTACTACATCTCCACTACATTTTTTTTTCGTCCAGGCAATCCGCCGTTCAAGCACAGCTTCTAAACTCAACCAGACGTATGTAAAAATAATAGCGTGGATTCAACCAAGGCATTCCAATTATCTTATTTACAACTCGCCACATTCAGACAAAACCGACGCCCCCTTCAGCAGTGGCAGTCTCCCTGACAGCAAGGGTTGCTGACATAGTTGACGGTAAGCTCTCCCTTGCTAACATCATTGCCAGGCTGGGTAGGAATAGAGCCGCACTGTCGGCACTTGTGGTCTAGCAGGCCCTGGACCTGGTTATATGCGTCCCTGGCGGAACCAGAAGCGCCGTTCTGGTAGAAGGCGCAGACGCTACCCTGGGAGCCGTGAGAGCAGGCAATTTGTTCTATCTCTCCGTGTTAGTAGAAACTGCGGGTTTTGCCCTCGCGATGGAAAGACTTGCGTCCGGTGTTGAAGTGACGGTCGCCGCCGCCGCCAGCAACCAAGTTGCCAATCTGGTCGTGAACTACTTGCATGGAGGCGTCGTTGATGGAGCAGAATCCGGAGCCGCGGCAGTTGATGCCGAGCGCCGCGGCGCTGGAGAGGAACAGAATTATGGAAGAGAACTGCATATTGATGAGTTTTCTGGGGTGTATCGAGGAAGAGTGGGAAATGTGTACGAGTTGAGGTCCTTTTTGCAGGAGATTAGAGGCGGCAGTGGGCAAGCATTTATGTTTTTTCCTCCGTGAGTCGTTCTTGTAGTCTGTATAACATGTATTTCTCGTGCCAACTATGTTTGAGGAATCAGCTGGTAGGCAGGACGGCGGCAACTTGGACCCAGCAAGCATGGGCAAGGAAAGGGTACTCGTGAACGGTACGGAGGAATGTACCGGTACTTGGGTCCGCCGTGTCTACATCTTGCACCAATATACATGCGGATTGCCGTTTCTGTGACCGTCACACATGGACGTGAGGCGACCATCTCTGTGGTCAGGATGCGTGGACAACTTCCGAGGAACAAACCGCTTACGAGTTACTAACTACCCAATAGAGAAATAGTCAGTCGGGTCCAACTGTTTCAACTATCCCCGTGTCCATTATTCCGGGTTCCTCCTCAGCCATGTCCCTGATTCAGAGCCAAGGTAGCTCCAGCTCCACATTGGGTTGTGCTTATTTCCCACCAATGGTCTCGGTAGATCATCATCATAGATCGGAAGCCTTCTCCGTAAGCTGCCAACTACAAGCTACTCGTTAAGCTATTGGCGCTAGTTGAGTTGTCCTCGAGGGCGTTCTACAGAGCTCCCGGAAAGAAAAGGGGCATGGCGTCCGCTTCGCGCTTATACAGGGTTCCTTCCTTGGATATCGGATCATCGGTGAGCCTTGTGTGTACATGTAGTAGTATGTACTTCATGGCGTTATTGCCGAGTGTGACGGTCCCTTGTCTCTGCCGCGACTGGGTCTGCTGTATTGTGGCGGCCGGCAGTCATTGTTGAAGGGCACGAGTGATGTGCAGACATGGATTTATTCAGCACCGGACCCTTCTGGCGGATTCAGCACTTCCAAGAGCGGGATTCTGGTACTCCTACGGAGTAGCTTGGAGGGACCTGGGGAGATGAACGACCCTGGGAGCGCTGGACGGGTCCATGTCGCCCTACACTAGTGCTTACATGTACTGGTCAATAGGTGAGGCGTTGTAGATCTGTAGATCCTATCAAGTGTCAATGCTATTCTTCCCTGGTTTTGCTTTGTCGGCATCCCAATTGACAGCCGAATCATAGAAGTGGCTGGGGGGAAATCTCGGAATAGCTTCTTTTCTCAAGTGACCTTGGATGTCCTGGGTCAAGAACTCAGGCAGGCCAATATGTGCGAACCGGAAGATCCAGCGTTTTTCTTCAGGACAGGGGCAACCTTGATGTCTGTCAGCACTTGTCCGTGGACCTACTTCTCTAGTCATTTCGAGGATGTGACGAAAATAGGGTCGGGACACTACTTGCCGCCCGGAAATAGTTCTCAATATCCCACTAATAAACGTGCCGATGAGTCATCACCTAACCGTCACATTGAGGCGGATGGCCTACTCTTTCCTGACATGGAGTGAGAAAGTTACGGCTAGAATTACAGATTAGACATTTAACACTTTTTTTCACAGAATAATGTCCCATGTGTTCGACACTTTGACAGCACGCTTATCAAGAAAACCGTTCAGAGTAAAATGGCTTGTTCAGTTGTCTAGCACAGAGTCATCTTCCCGGCTCCCGTCTCGTCGAAATGTCCTACAGTGTCCCAACACCGCAGAGTTATCACGTCCTACATCCTAGCAAGCGCCCTGGCAGTGAGGATCCCCAACAACATTAACAGTGAGCTCCCCCTTGCTCACATCATTCCCGGGCTGAGTAGGCACAGAGCCGCACTTCTTGCACTTGTGGTCAAGCAAGGCCTGGAGAAAGCCCGACGTCTGCTCAGCCGTGCCGGTGGCGCCGTTTTGATAGAAGGCGCAGAGGGACCCCGTGCAAGCAATCTGCTGGCCGGTGTTGTATCTGCGATCGCGAGGCTGGATACCGTCCACGATGGCCTTGAGGTTGATGAGGTTTCCGGCCGCGCCGTCCGATGGGCAGAGTCCGGAGCCGCGGCAGTTGATGCCCAGGGCCGAGGTGGAAGCCGCGAGGGCAGCAATAGAGGTGATGATTGAGAACTTCATCACGTGTAGAATCATATGTGTAGGAGGTTGTGATGGTGGTGGTGGTGGTATACAACAGAGATTGGGGATGGCGGGGGACTAAATAGCATTGATGAATATCAATGGGAGATTCTTCTAGCTAGGAGCAACAGGTTTCAAGGCAAAGTCCGTATCACAAGCATATTGGTCGGGCATGGCAAGCCTGGTTCCGTACAAGTTGTCCAAGATAAACACCGGTTATGGCGTGCCAGCTCCAAGCCTCATGGTAATCGCTTACCCATTAGTCGACGACTCAACTATTATCGATCACGGTACTCTGTAACTTGACTTGGTTGCCGCTACTGTCTACCGGCCAGCGCTGAACCGGCATTAGCCCGCACATTGTTTGGTTTGAGAGAGTTCACCAACGTCGTCACCGTACATGACAGCGTAGCTAACAAAGGCCATGCTAAGGAAAGCTACCTCTCAACAACTCCACAACTCCCAAGGTACGGATTGCCGCATTTGTATAGGTGGAGTGATTCTCGCCGTATGGGTGAGATGCTCCAGTCCGGCGATGGACCGATACGACCCAAGCACGCACACATGTTATAATTCCAGTCGAAGCTTTCCAAGTCGTCCTTGCCATAGTACGCATTGTGCTCACCGGGGAATAAAGACAGCCTTCTCTCTCCTCACCGCCTCTGCTTCCAAAAGCACAGCCATGTCTCACATTCGTCCGTTTTCCCAGGCCCATCACAAACGGTCAAGCACTGGGGGAGAAGTCTCAGCCGTCTAAAGCTCCCACGCTTTGCTTCGCCATGATCTATTGCCGGAAAAATAGAGGCGCTTAAAGTGATCGACACGGGTCTTCCAGCACGTCGGTCCTCTTTTACCCATGCCTCATGTAAGACGAAGGCTTGGCTGACGGATAGGCCGTCTTTTATCGGGCACCGGCACGGATAGATGGCAATAGATGGCACCTTGTAGGTGCCTGCCGCCTCGCTGAACTGGCGAGGAGATTATGATAGAGTATAAAGCTAATTTGGTCTCGGTTCCATGGAAAGTCCGGACTGACCGAAATTCGAATGGTCCCTCTGCATGTAGAGAAGCTAGCCCGGCGTCACATTGAGAACTTGCGCTCCGACCGAAACACCCAATCGGCCCCTCACAAACTGGGACAAAAGGACTTAAGCGCTGACTATGGGGAATGTCGGTCGATCAAGGAGCTAGACGGAACTCGCTGCCTTGGATGTTCGTTGCTTTTCGCCTGCGGGCAGCATTGTCGCGACGATCTGCCGCTCGGCATCTGATCCCAGCTGGACTGACCATGTGGACCTCTGCTCAGTAGTGACATCAGTGTGTCTTTGTTTGGTGTAGCTTTCCATATTGATGTGGTCTGGCGAATGAGAAAAGGCATAGAACACACGAGACTTTGTGCAACGAGCGTAGTAGAAGGGTTCGAAACCATCTTGTCGCGTGGTTGGGCTTAATGAGGAGGTACTTTGAAACAATGGGGAATTTGTACCAGTTACTTGAATTTCATCGTATACCTAGGTAGTCAGCATGATACTCGTGCAGAAGTATGTGGGCAGGGCATTTAACTGTGGTAAGTGCTGATTTTGGGGTTTCTCTGTTGAGCAGTTTAGTCTTCTGTCTACTTCTTCTCTGTTTTCCGAGAGAAGGTGCTTTTGCTCTTTAGGATCTTATAAAACAGCCTGTCCCTCCACCCAAGAGTTGCAACTGTCAACTATCCCTCATTCAACATAGAATACTTTTCCTGTATCAGTCGTCATCATGGCATCTCTCAGCATCATCGCCACATTTATTGCCAGTGCGGCCGCTCTCGGCATCAACTGCCGCGGCTCCGGTGGTTGCACATTCAACAATGCCAAGCTGAGTGATGTCTTGACCCAAGTCAAACAGATTCAGGCTCAAGGCAACGGTAATCATCATTACAACACCGGAGGTGAGTTGACCCCCTCCAGGCTGAAGTCGGGAGTCTCTAGTCATGCCCATAATGGAATGACTACATTCCTTTTCGAGACGTCATGTTCGCAGAGTTGCTAATGAAGACACAGTCCAACTCGCCTGTGCCCAGGGCCAATACTCGTCTATCTGTGCCTTCTACCAAAACGGTGCAAGCGGCACAGCAAATGATGCCGCTGGTCAGCTGCAGGGACTTATTGATCACAAGTGCACACAGTGTGGTTCTATTCCCACCCAGCCCGGGAATGATGTTGGCAAGGGCGAGCTCACGGTGAACATTGTGAGCGCCCCTTGCTGTAAAGGCAACTGCGTTTGTCCCATTTAAGGTGTGGATGTGGTTGTAAATACATTTGTACGAAAGCTCATGAGCCGGGTGTAACTGTCGCAGCCAAACGTCGTCTCCGTGTCGTTAGTTAGCAGAGCGCTGATAATTGAGATGCTGGCGCGACATAGCCGTCTCTGTGTATGTACTCGATTAATATGAATAACTGAGAGAACTTTGTGTGGATCTCGATATATCAGAAACCCGCAGACGCTTCCAAATCCTTTCTATGGGTTACACTCAGGATAAGATGCAATGACATTAAAGTTATGAGATTCTAGCAGCTACCGACTAGCACCTCGGACTGAATCGAATGAATGAAGAGCGACTGCTCCTCATCCTTCCGCTTTGAAGAGTATGCGCTGGAGCATGGTCAAGGACTGCACCCCCAGGAACACAATGCTTCTGGTCAAAGGCCGTTCATGGAACCGAGTGGCCTCATTTTTGTAGGGGAGTTGGTTGATGCAGCGGACAAAGTGCTGCGATGTTGCCCGATACCAAAGAACCTGCACCCGAGATAGAAGAATCGCTAAGACGTTCTCTGGAGAAGAGATGTATGACATTACACAGCAGGATATTTGGTCTATCAGGCTCGGAAATGGAATTCGCCGTTTGTCATTCGTAGATGACTATTTCGAGCCGCCCCAACTCGAACAATTTCCTTCAGCTTTCGGAATGGATCGGAGGATTGCTGAGCTCCTTCAACATCGGGATTAATCCATCTAACATTGAAAACATCCCTCATGAATAATAGTATCATGCCATCAAAACAGAAGAGCACGGTCGGGTGGCTTGTGGAATTCGTGTCAGCTCAAGCCACACGCCCATCATGGCGACGCAGACAAAACAAACATGCAAGGCGCATGCGGAGGGATACAACGCCTTCCTTTCAATAGTCCTCGGAAGCACGTGCTCTACCACAGCAGGATAAAGAGTCGCGCTAAAAGGTATTACTTGAGTAGCCAGCAAGCATACCTAGACAATGTCAAATAAATTGTAGTATACCAAGGCGACGCAGACGCACCTACGGCCAATGGGCACATGGGCACCCCGCAAGCCAAATCGATGGAGGGGGGGGCATCGAAATCTGAAACGACGAATCAACTTAATAAAGGGTGATCGTTTACCGTTTTTACTTTCTCTTCCCTGGCTGCGTGCCCATCTTTGATCCAACAATTGACTTGAGCCAGAGGTTGTCGAGGTGGGGAATGGGGTTGTGTGCGGCGTTGTCATGGCAACAGAACGATAAACTCGATGGCCCATGGCCAAACAGTGGAACATGGCCTCATAGCCAATCGAAAGCAATCAACTGGCCTTCCCTCGCATCTCAAGTGCTCTCGTCTCTCACGCTCTGTTGTTCGCAGCCGATAGTTTTACAGTTCACAATTCAGTGGCCAATCTGGATGCATCACCAACCCTCGTGATAGTCCGTATATGATGATTTTACGCCGACGCCAAAACGGACTGACTGCGGCAACAACACCACATCGCCAAGTAAACACAGACCGCACATAGAACTGCAGCCAACCCACAGACGCAGACTGGGAACAGACAGACGAGAGCGCCACTTTGAGGGAAATTCTACGCGCGCCTACCAGTCAAAACAATCATTGTCTGCATCCCACCTTCGTCCTATACACACTGCACAGGGTCACCTTTGCCCAGGTACACCGCCGTTTTGTCGTGACACGAGGAGAATCATGGACACCAGTTACCTGGCCCAGCAGGTCAATAGCAGCATTGCGCAGTTGCATGGCCTGTTTGACGAGATTGGAGTTCCCAATCATGAGCGCGAGGCTCGGGAGTCAGAGGTACTTCTTCTCGGCCTCTGCATCTCAAATTCAATCACTTGTAAAAGCATGGCTGACCAATTCGCAGCTCTTCACGGCTCTGTCAGAAGCACTCAGTAGCCAAGTGCGCCTGGTCACGACGGAGAAAAAGGACATGATTGATGAGGCCAAGAAGATTATCACAACCATCCGACAAATGGAAGCGTCGCTGGACGATTCTAAGCCCCGGAGAGGAGAATACCAGGAGGACGAAGAGTTCAAAATCACTTACCCTCTGAACCGCTGCGTGCAGAGCCTAAGGGAGAAGCATATTCAAATAAGCCGTCTGCACAAGGAACGTTTCGAGCAGGTGAAAAGTAGGGTGTCCGTCATGTTCCAGCAATGCGGCTTGTCGTGCTAATGTTTGATACAGCGCTCGTCGAAGCCCTCGAGTCGTACTCATCACATCTCGAGCCAACTTTTGTTCAGATCGCGCTTCCGCCCACGGGACCAAACCAATCTCTCCCGCCCACGTTCGACATATCCAACACGTACGTCGAGAAGCTGGACGCTGAGTTCACCCGAGTGTATGACGAATACATGCGCCGCATTGCTTCGGTACAGGCATTGTCCAACCAGATTATCCAACTTTGGGCAGAACTTGGCGTGCCTCAAGCTCAGCAAGACGGTGCGATTGTTAAGTACTACAGAGATGCGCCTGAGCAGCTTGGTCTCCACAAGGAAGATCTCAACAGGCTTCAGACGAAGCGAGATCGCCTGTCAGATGAGAAGAAGAACCGCGAGAAGAGACTAAAGGATCTCAAATCCGCTGTCGAGGCCTTGTGGCTGAAACTTGGCATCGACGAAGGCGAAACTAAGAATTTCCTCAACAAAAACAGGGGATGCGGTGTCCGTCAAATCAATGAGTTCGAAGACGAATTGGCGCGCCTGAACGAACTGAAGAGACAAAACCTCCACCTCTTTGTTGAAGATTCCCGCGTCAAGCTCCAGGAACTGTGGGATTCGCTATACTTTTCGGAAGACGAGATGCTCGAGTTCACTCCGGCCTTTTCTGACGTATATAGTGACGCCCTATTGGAGGCGCACGAGCGCGAGGTCGCACGACTAGAGGCACTCAAAGAGCAACGCGCGCCAATTCTGGCCGTGGTCGATAAGCACAAGAGCCTGATCAAGGACCGGGACGACCTCGCAGCGTCGAGCCAAGATGCTTCCCGCCTCATGATGCGCGGCCAAAAGGGTGAGAAGCGAGATCCCGGAAAGCTTCTGAGAGAGGAAAAGATGCGCAAGCGGATAGCCAAGGAGCTGCCCAAGGTGTCAGCCGAAGTCCGCAAGATGCTCGAAAGATGGGAGGACGAGTACGGTCGGCCGTTTCTGGTATTCGGAGAGCGCTATCTTGACGAATTAGAACCAGAAGAAACGAAGAGGGCTGGCCCTGCTTCACGATCCAAGACTCCAGCAAAAGCACCTCCGTCGACGGTGAAAAAGTCAGCAGGTCTCACGAGAGTCCCTAGCACAAAGGCGGTACCGCCTCGCTCCATGACCAAGACTCCGACGGCGGCGGGCCGAACTGCTACGAAGAAAATGCAATCGCCAGGCAAGACCAATGCGATACACGGCAGACAAAGCCCGTCGAGGATTCCCGCTCGTGTTCCCCTGTCGAACTTGAAGACAGGCGGCAATTCCCCCGAGCGTCCATCACGACCAGAATCTAGGGCAGAGACTCTTCGAAACGGTGCGCCAGTCCGTGCTCCTCCACCAAAAATGCGTGACTTGAAGTCAGTTCCCGAACTACAGACACCAAAGAATCCTTACAAGCGAACAGGCATCGAGTCGAGCATTGTGCGCCAAGTTGAGCCCGAGGATGTCTACGACGACCGCCCTCAAACTTCCCGGGGAATGCGATCCAATTCCAACCTGTCCAACCACACGCAGCCAGCGTATTACGAGGATGCATATGACGACCGTTATGACGATCGCTATGATGACCGCTACGCCACAATTCGCGGTCCACGTTCTGCATATCCGCAAGGGGCGCCTTCGAGACAACTCTCAAACAATTCACACACGTCGACTGCCATCTCGGGGTCTGAGAATTGGGAAACATACGATGATAACAGCGAGCCGGAAGTAGACGTCTCAGAAGACTATTATAACAAGCTCCGAGCTGCGCGTGGCAAGAGATATGAGCCAGAGCAGGGCCATGGACCTACAAGCAGCCAAGCCAAACGCCTAAGAGGCATTCCAGGGACACCATATGCAGCAGCGCCAGTCATGATTGATCACGATGGTAACCGAATCATTTCGGGCAGCGAATGGACTGATGAAGATGTGTTTTGAAGATGCGATGGAACCACACGAACTTTGAATCCCGTTCAAGGCAGTCTGGTCATTTGAAACTCGCGGTGACGGCGTGCAGATTTTCACGAAACTTATGTGTGATGCTCGCTATCCTCTGTCTTGGCCGACCAGCAGCGTCGTTGCTACTCGGATGGATTTATGATGCAACGGATAACGCTCCCTCTCATTCCGTGCATTGGCTAGGTCACTTCGAGACCTGCACCAGGCGTGCCTACATCTCTCTTACCTATGGCTCTTGCCCAGGGCTGGCGTCCATGGGCATGCTACGGATTTTGAACTTGTACCTATCTAGGATTTGTCTTGTTCTATTTTTTTATTATTGTCGGGGGCTATTCTGAAGACTGGTGTTTTATACTGAACGACAAGCTTGCAAAAGCGCCCAGGACTTATATACTAAGGCGGTGCGTACCATGCTTTGCGGGATTGACGGAATGAAGAGGATTTTGATAATGGGAATTGACGGGGCGAACAAGGAACAAGTCCAGGGAGGGGCGAGGGAAATGGCGTTTGGGAAGCTGGCGTTTGTGATCTTTTTTTTTTGCGACTTGCATATAGGGTCTGTACAGTGTTGTTGTGAATAAGACGTTCTGGTGCTTGCAATCAAGCCTCTGTTTTACTTGGCTTTTGTTTGTGCGTATAATTCAAGACTTTTTTGCTCCTGAAGTTGGTCTGGTCTGGTTTGCCATGTCATTCCCATGATGCGTCAAAGAGTGAGTGAAGGGGGCAGTGTAAATATCTGATCCCGGTCTGCAGGGGCCGTGGTTAAAAATACTGCCATTATCCGGAGCTGATTATTTGTTTGGTTTTGGTCTGTCAGTGCTCGACTTGGCCAACGTTTTGCAATGGAAAATGAGGGATAGGACCAAGTCTGATGGCAGAGTAATACGAGAACTGAAATAGACAGAATGCGCAAGTGTGGAGCTCGCCATGTTGGCTATGTTCAACTCACATCGCATCCTGGTCGTGCGATAGTACTGCCAATGATCCAAAAATAAATGTGCAGAGCAAGCTCAACGACTGATGGAATAGGGGAGGGCAAAGAATGTTGTTGGCTCGGATGGCTTGGATCAAGGTGGCTGTTGGGGGACCTGCGCCGTCCCTTCCGACGTCGAAATTCCGTCTCATCTCCACATTTTGACTTCCCCGTCTTCCGAGCTGTCATCTCGTCCTTCTGCATTCTTTGCCAAATGCTTTCCAGAGCATTTGTGCTTGTATTTGGGGTCCCGGGACTGACTTGCTTGCCCTCTTTAAAAAAGCCTACTCTCCTTTTCTCTACGGAGCGCCCGCCGCCGAATTCGACCCCCCTTTTGTCTGGCCAACGCGTTCGCTGCCCCTTGTCTGCAAAACCTCCCTGATGTCGTTACCATTCGTCTTGTCCCGGCGATGAATCCCGCCGCGGCATCTCACTCGGGTGGCTCGCAGGACGACGCTGCGACTGCTCTGAGAGGCGCCTCGCTTGCCTTTCAGCGTAGTCCAGCAGTGGGAGCTACGTCGCCGCCGCATCACGGCAAGGACGGGGCCTCGTCCTCGGTCGGCCGGTCGAGAAGTCCGCTTGGAGTGGCTCTGGATGCCACGGGCGACGGGGGCAGTGGTGCCCACGGCCGTCACGTCGATTCTCCTGGGTACCGGGCGGGTGTGGTTGCTGCCCGACTGCATCAGTTGAACGGCTCGCATGCACAGCTGCAGCCGACGACGTCTGCGCAGCGGCTGGATCCGAAGAGCCCGAGTTTCATTGCCGCTACGCTGGCGGCCAGCAGGAGCGTGAGTCCGAGCCCCTTGGCCAGATCGCCGCGGAGGAAGAGTAGCTTCGGGGCCGCGAGTGTCCTGGGGAACGCGGATGCCGTTGATTCGGAGAGCATTGCTCCCGCGGGCAACTTGATATCCATGTTTGAGGCAGCCCGGGACGGCACCGAAACGACGAGGAAACCAGCACGACGGCGGACGCCGCCTCCTGGAGAACCGGAAGATGCCACGCGGGGGGTGGACGTGCCGGCAGACAGGAGAGAACCGGCGCCGTCGCCGAAGACAAAGAGTCGTCATGTACGGCCGCCCACGCCTCTGCAGGGTGCGGATGAAGCGCGTTCAAGCTCCATGCCGCCGAAACAACCGCCCACTCCTCCCCATAGAAGCTCGGAAAAGATATCAGCCATGCCAATGCCCAAGCCGAAGCCGCCGCGGGAACTGACCTCTCCGCCAAAACCCCCTCCCAACCCTGCGAAACCTCAGCTTCCTCCGCCTGCGGCACCAAAGCCAGGACAGGCTGGGATGTTGCCACCACCCCCAAGACTTGCCGCCAAACCAGCGCCTAAACCTCTCAAAGTGCGGCTTCCGAGTCCCCCTTCGGTGGTGAGCACGTCTACACCCGAAGTTTTATCCCCCAAGCCGGTGAGGTTGATCACGCCCACGCTAGCACCTCCGGTGTTGAGCAGCCCTGGCGCGTACGATGAAGCCGACTCTTCACCTTCACCAGATCCCGACAAGCGTACTCAAACTACAAGTCTACGGCCTCCAAAGCCTCCAAAACCCCGGGGAAGCCAGAGACTGGCAGCAAGCAAATCTGGCAGCCGAAGTCGGCGCCGTGGGAATTCAGACACGCCCTTGCCCCGTGGCAGCTCATCCGCAACGCCTCTCACGGAATTTGGTTTGCCAATCGTCTCTCCGCCCCCTCCACAGCAACAACAACAGCAGCAACAACCTATTCGTCACATACGCCGGAAAAAAACGCCTCCTCCTCTTCCCGCGAGACGACGAGAATCGGTAGCTAGTGCACCAACATCCCCTGTTCGCGATGCGCCTCGACGTCGCCGGCCCACCAACACGTCTACCACCAATCTACCACTCGATCCCCTTACCAGCGCCATGATGGCCAGTTCCCTCGCTTCCTATAGACTCACGCCTCACAACACCGGATCTTCCCTTCCTCCACCGAGTCTGCCTAAACGTCAGAAATCGCCTCATCTGCTCCAGACTCTTCGGCAGCCGCAAAGCCACTCCGACGACGACCCAGAACGTCTAAAAATAGCACACCGCCACAAATTATCCAGTAACAAGCACGCGCACCACGAAGGGTCGCGGAAACGATGGCGGGATCAAATCACACAGAGGGAACGCAAACGATACGAGGCAGTCTGGGCGTCGAATCGCGGCTACCTGCTCAATGACGACGGTCCGTCGCAGAGCGTAGACAGTGGCCTGCACAGAATCGCGGCAGACTGCGTCGCAAACGTGGTGGTTAGGGAGATTTGGAAGCGGTCCCGGCTGCCGGAAGACGAGCTCGTCGAGGTCTGGGAGCTGGTTGATCGCGGACACGCTGGGATGCTGACGAGGCAGGAGTTCATCGTGGGCATGTGGCTGATTGACCAGCGGCTGAGGGGGAGGAAGCTGCCCGTGCGGGTGTCTGACAGCGTGTGGGACAGCGCGAACGGAGTGCGTATTTCGAAGCCCAAGACCAGGTGATGCGTGCTACATCTGTTTTTTTTTTTTTTTCGGGGAGGGGCTGGAAAGTCCAGTGGTCAAGAGGAGGGGGAATATGAGCATTGCAGCATGATACCCCCACGTCGATGCTTCGATGTGGAAAAACAGGTCGCATAGACGGGCTTACGAGCCCTTTGTTTAATACACGGTTCGCCGGTCAACCGGCTTGGTTGGAATATCAAAATAGTACTATTTGTATTGCAATCTATCAAGGCTCGCTTCTCGTGACCGGAACAGGCAGCTACTTTTTTCTTCTCTCTCTCTCCCCCTCTAACTCCTTGCAAGACTTTGCAAGATCTCTCTAGGACTGGCTGGAAACATACTTGGTGGACGTCTCGTCGCCAAACGTAACGCTGACGTTGTAGTTGCTCAGCGTGGGCATGTGCAGCGCGCCGTACAGACTCATCAAGCTGGCGGTGATGAGGCCCTTGCCTCTGGGGGCGTTTTGCGGAATAGCAAACTGCTTGGTGAAACTGTGTAGTTGGTTCGATTCACCTGCTCGTTTTTTTTGTAAGCGCTCATCAGCCAAAAGGGAGGAGGGTTCATAAACCGTACCGGGACCGAGATACATTGACCCCGCGACGAGTCCCAGGCTCTCGGGCGTTCCGTGGCCCGGGGCGTAGCCAAACGCAATGGCTACGTCGTACACGGCCTGGATGTAGTTCTCGCTGATGATGGTGGCGTTGATGGTGTCGCCCGGCTTGATGGTCTCGGGGACGGATATGCCTGTGATGCGGGCGTGGGCGAGGGCCAGGAGACTGGCGGCGACGGCAATTGAAGCACGCATGGCGAGGATATAGATGGCCAAGATTGGGGACAGAGCAGTCTTTGATGATGGGTGTGATTTGTATGATGCCGGTTTCGAGATGTGACGCGGGGGGACGGGTTGTGATACTTGTATGTTGCGGTTGTATTCTATCTT